CTGTAATTGCTATTCGATTGTTTCTGTTTACATATAGTTTTTGTTTCTAGCTGCCTTTACCGAATGATCGTGATTGGGATTTTTACACTGGATTACCAGTTTTATGATGGATTTGATCGTTTTTGTTGGTTCTAGATTTGTTATGGTGTGATATTCAGATGCGCGAGAAAAGGACGTGGCTGAGATCAGGCGTCAACAGCCGAACAAAGTTCCCGTGATCATCGAAAGGTTTGATGGAGAACGCAGTCTGCCCGTTGATGGATCGTTGTAAATTCCTGGTACCCGATCATATCACTGTTGCCGAACTCATGCATATCATCAGACGCAGGTACATTTGGAAATTTGGAAAGTCTTGCCTACAGCGCTTCTGAAAACTACTTATATGTGAGATCGATTCCATTGATCACCTTTACGAATCCCTTAGAAAGCTGAAATGAGCTGCTGTCTCTGTGTGACTGGGTGGTGTTCGGACCCAAGATTAGTTAATTACTCGTCCAAGTGATACGAAGTTCTCTTAGGTCAGCAGGTAAGGCATGATTGTGTAAGCGGTTCGACATGAGAGCAGCGGAACACTATCAGTATGACGGACCACGAAGTTCGTCACTGTTTGCTAATTTCAACTTCAGCTTCCTCATATCAGCCGTTTTGCTAAACGGTGCAAATATTGAGTTGATGCATAATTATTGCGGCTTTTATTTGCGCCTTCTTTTTTTCGAAAAGGTTGGCATTTTGTTTATTTATTTTTCATGAAAATATTCTTCCCTCTTTCATCAACAAAATGCATATCAAAAATAATCTCCATATTCGCCACATATGCTCTACCACGTCGAGAAAGGTTGGAGTCGGTAGAGTCATCCCGCGATCTCAACGAACTTTTTGCCGATGAAGCATTCAGCGACAGCCAAGTTGAAAGTTGTTGAAGAGGTTCAAACGCCATATTTACCGACCGAAGCTCCTACAGACTACCACTTCAATCAGTCGTTGAAAAACTGGCAAACGAACAAAATTTACGACGAGCTGGATGACTTGGTGGCCGGTGTTAGAGCGTGGATCGTCTCCAAGAATCGTGACTTCTTCACCCGTGGAATCGACTGACTGCCAAGCAAATGGAAAGCATTTGTCAAAGGTTGTGGCTACGCTCCGAAATAATTATTTAAACGTTTTTGCTGATTTTTTTAAAAATCGTTTCTCACTGAATGAAACTTGAAAAAAGCCGCCATAATTGTGCGTCAACCCAGTACTTGATGAGAGGAAGTTGAAATTGTTGTAGTCATACGTTCAAGAGCTTGTTCAGCTAGCCCAGCGTATAGATTACACGTTGAAGTTCATGGTATACGAAGTTTGAATAAAGAAGGATGTCATGGTGTGTACAGGGTCATATAAAAGAAGTGATTTTTGTGCGGGCTTGAGAAAAGAAGCTTGTGATAATTGGCGATAGCACACAATTGATCAATTTGTGATTATCTAATTAATTCCTGGATTAACAACTGCATATGTGGTTGATAATGACGGTAGGGTTCTAGTCTCGCGGTGGATTCCAAGCATTATCCAAAATCAAGTCACGACTGCTAAGAAAAACAATGTGCCCAGGATGGTTCTTTTTTTTTTCGGACTGAAACGATCCTACTTACCCAATTATGAAGCGTTTTACCTCATATAACGTGTAGGACAGTTCCTTCTAAAGTTCAATTTGGGTTTCTAGAAATGTTTAGAGTTAATCTCTAATTCAGTGTGATAAAATTAGAGGTGCTGACGCAATTGGACGGGGGCCACGGGGTGGCGCAGCGCTTTGTTCTTCTGTGCTTTCTCGGCCGTAGCCAGGACCACAGTTTTTAGGATTAAGCCCTGAAGGAGCGAGCCAAGTGCGAGGTAAACTCTGGAAATATTTCTTTGTGTTCGATCACTGCTTGAATGTTCCGATTGACATTACGCACTCTAACTAGGTAAACCTCCTCTCAACAAGCATTTCACAAAGCGTTATAATGATTCGCGTTCAGTCAGGCTTCCCGTTGAGTTTGACCCACGCATCTTATCCGTGGCAGATTTTTCGTTGTCTTCCACACAGAAGAATTGGGATTTTTTTTCATTAAAAGGAATGTGATCTTCAACTTTACGTTGGGAGCATTTGACATGAAATTAGCAAAGTATGACTAATCAAATGTGGAGGCAAAATGTTTTTTTTTCATTGGCCTTCCTGTAAAGTAGGTATACATATTTCGTCTTTCTCTGCATGCCTCATTTATTTCTTTATTTAGATTGCAATTACATCCGGAACAAGCCTTCTTCCTTCTAGTCAATGAAAAGTCTGTTTGTCTCCAATTCAATGACCATGTCTCAGCTCTACCAAACGGACAGAGATCAAGACGGATTTCTTTATGTCGTGTATACCAGCCAGCCGGCGTTTGGTTTCTCCATACCTCTTTCTACAACTCAGGTCGTTCTTATCAGCGATTGGAACTGACAATTGTTGTCATTATGTTAGAATGATTTACGCTTATTTACATATTCCATCTTGGCGGCACTAACTGAGCACATGCTGTTGCTTCATTTGTATTTAGTTGTACATAGCCATTGAAAAACCGTTGTCTTCAAGTGAGTTGTACATAGTGAGCATACTCGTCGCCTCAGTGTGTTTTTTTTTTCTTTCAGTACTTTGTGTATAGTCAACTTCATAGAATTTAATGCATCATTTCTTAATATGTGCTCCAGCTATTCGCATTTTGCCACCTGAATTTTCGTGAAGTTTTCATGATGCAGAACATTTTATTGTTCTTTTTACCTTCTATCGCGACTCTCAATACATTTTCCAGACGATTCATTCGTTGTGACAATTGGGTCAATTTTTGCGAACAGTGAACACCTCTGTGTGAGCGGTAAACAAGAACACAGTACCACGCAATCGCTGTTGTGCACTACTGTCCCAACAACTATGGAGATCCGAATAGTAATGGCCTTCGAAGAATGGAACTGAAATATCTCCTAGGGAGGGGGCTCTACAATATGCACTTTACAATTTTTTGGTGCTATACAAGTAGGGTGGGCACGCCGCATTTTTTGAACAGAAATGTATGTCAGTGGGACTGCTGCTCGCTACTATACTGTCACGAGAATTGGGGAGTTCGTGAGCCAGGGGGAGTGTAGCCAATCTAGGGGGGTGGGGTGGGGGGGGGGGGGGGGGTGAGGGCAGTCACTTGACATGCGTGAAAAGCTGGGTGTGCCCATCCCACTTGTACAGCACCATTTTTTTTTGTCTGTTTGACGCGCGGTCGCAAAGGCTGGTGTCAGAGTCCGCGTTTCGATTTGCGCGATTTTTGCGAAACCTGCGATGGGTCACAGGAGTTGGAGGTGCCCCGATGAATACTGCGAGGTGCTGTTTAATCCTGGAAATTGAAGGAAGACTGCCCGTGATTCTACTCGTTTAATGTTATGTCTATTATTCATTGAAATGCTCATTCGTTCAGGGACGGAACTGCATCTATTCTGAACTGACCATGAGGATGACCATGAGATCGCGCGGATCACAAAAATTGCAAGTGGCCCATTTGAACAATTGAAACACTGAATATGAAGCAAGTGGAAGAGAACACCTTGCAGTATTGAATGAGGCACTTGAGATTTCCGTGACCGTCGCGCAAATCGCGAAAATCGCGCAAAAAATCGCGGACTCTGCCGTTTTGTGGTAATCTAATTACTCTCCATGGGATGAATTATACTGCAATACTTGTTGAACCCCAGTGGACCTTCCTGTTTTTTTTGCCATGAACTCATGTGAGCATCAAAATCTTTAAGCTCTCATATGTCAAAGCAATCAGCCAGCATGATAACCGCTATTCACATGAAAATGATGATGGTAGATTTTCAATTAGGTAATCTGTGTTCTTTCAAGAGCACCAGTTTCACGTGAAATCGCGTTATCGGCACAGAAAATCAAATCACACCAGTACAATGAAAAAAAAAACTCACGAAGTGCCGGTGTTGTACATTAACACATTGCGGGCCGCCGTTGTACGAGTATTCCCGCATTTTTTGGATTTTTTAAAAATAATTCAATAATCCATCGATAGTTAATCAGTCATGGCTTATGGCTTTTGAAAACGAGCGCAAGCAAACAGTTCAAGAACATTGAAGAATACTGAATAATTTGCCTCAATCACGCGCCCTCACACTGGACGCGTGTAAAATAAACGGTTTCGCCACACATTTTCTGAATTAAGATTTTCTTTTCATTTCTGCTGCCCTTTTGATGGTGTAAGAAGTCTGCTTGTTTTCTCTATGCACATTCTTGTTGACCTCGGCTCCACTCGCGTTCCTACTCGTGCTCGCCGGTTCCATACAAACAATAGAAGAAATGTGTCACACCAAGGAAAACAAGACATCACGAATAGTAGTCATGCCATAACTGAGAGCTGTTATCAGTGTGTGACGGTACGCGACGTCTCAAAGGATGGTTATGGCGCAATATTGGTTCATTTGTCTGCATCTGTGCATGGATGAAGAGGAAAATCTTTTATTGAATATCAACCGTCGTAGAATTACAACGGACGGGTGAGAAGAGGTGACGAGTTCGTAGTGATGATGTTCATAGATCAGAAACCCGCATAAGCATCTCGGTTCGAATCCACCTCTGTAAAACGTTGACATCAAATTCATAAAATTTGGGACAATGGAGCCTATAGGGATAGCGCCTTCTGTGAATTATCAACTATGTCGAAAACCAATTGAAACTAACAATAAATAATTGCGGGTTGGAACATGAACTACCCTTCAAGCTTTAGTGGCTATTCCGCTATCGCACTAAAATATGTGAGGTTCAAGCTGTAAAGAAGAAAAAGACTCCCGAAACACTGTTTATGCGGGCCTTCTTAAATCGGTAAATGAGCCTACCAAGAAGAAACCTCGGGTTTCGAGAGGGAAAAACCTAGAAACGTAGAAACGGTAGGACGCAGACATTCCTCATCCGTATCAAAGGTGTCCGGAGCTCCGTGAGACAAAACATTTTTGCAAACACGGACTATCACGTGCTTCTTGCTGTTAACTGAATTTAATGTGGCACCAACATTCTCCACACTCTTCGTGCCTTCCTTTTCGATGAAGATAATAATACGTTTTTTCAATTAGAATTCATTCCCTATGGAAATCGACTTATGCTCCTCGACAAGGGGCTTTACTAATACAGGCCATAACCACGGAGAGCGCGACCTTTGCAATAGGGCAGTACCTTGAAAAATCAGAAAAGTTCTTCTTCATTTTTCACCAATGTACTGTCTGTCCTAAGACCAAAGAGCATGGCGCTTGATGACACTGTTCATGTGATCGTATGGCACACATGACACTTCTCAGCGGACAGTTATTGATATGTCGAGACGTTAAACTTCAAGGCAGTCGAAGCACGTCAATTTTATTAAGGTGATTCACGTGCTACAAAAAAAAAAACACAAACGACCTTCGGGGGAAGGGGAGTGGCTCGTCCGCCGGGCGGAGGTGGAAGAGGTAACTTCTGATAAAGCGGCAAATCTCCAATTTCCCTCTTTTACCACTACTTTCTGAAGTTGCGCCAAAATAGAAAAAAACCCTTTTCGCAACCATGACCCATTCAACCTCTATAGATACGACCCACTGGTTCCTACTTTCCCAACGTTGCATACACACTACTCTCCAACCCCAATAAGGACCCCTTTCACGGGATAGACGTGCACGTACTTTGAACCCGATCCTTCAGAAGGCCGCCTCAGATCCATCCCGCTGTCTGCGCACTCTCTCACCTTATCATGCAATTGTGACACCACACATTGAAAATGTTCATGCACACACTATGTAGCTTTGGGCGCACCCACTCAAACTCATTCTTCAAATCGCATACAAGGCTGATGCCTAAGCTTTCACTCCTTCCCTGAGATTTGCGCAGTCTGAGCCAGGACGCCGGTTGCTCCATACTGATCTGCATGCCTCTCGCGTATTTAGTGAGCAGGGCACCAGTGCGAAGAAAGTTGCAAGGTAGTCCGATAAACACCCCTTACCCGTCTCGAATAGTGCCGAGATAAGAGCGTCTAAAAGTGGGAGTCGTCGCTAATGCATCGTGATAGTTTTCAGAAAAGCTTTACAATCGTTTGATGCAGATCTTTAAAGAAAGCGTGCAGGTTAATTCATAGAAAATTCGGGATCTCTCCTCGCGAAAGAAGATGCCGTGTGGCAGCTAATGAGGAAGAATGTGACTAGAATGTCAGGGATTAAGTAATCATTTTGACACCGAAGGACGCTAAGATTTTCATAAGGATGGCAGCTATATTTTGCCCGGCCAAACACCATTATATGTCACCACCCAATCAAATACTCATGCTTACTTCGCCCTATCACTTCGAGGTGCCCAGAGCAAAATGGTTATTTTTTTCGATGCTCATCTATCAGCAATTTTAATGGGTGATCGACGGTTTCTCCCAGTTTTTTTTCATTACTGACGTTTACAATTCACATCTTCCGGGCTTTAACAAGCACAACAACACAACGGTTTGGTCCCGGATTTTGCTCTGACCGTGAAAGTATTCATTCCCAAATTTATCCCAAAAAGACTAGGGAGGAATTGTGAGAATTTACAATGCAGTCATCACAGAAAGGAGGGCTTCACGCAAGTCTAGAAAAAGAGATTACCTTTTGGACACTGATCTCTCCTGATGTGCGCAAATGGATTTCTTCGATATTGATTCGCATTCCTTGGAATGTAGACTGACCGCTACGTTAGGGGTTTATTTTATGTCTCTCCAAGAATTTAGACAACGCTAACTTCTCCGAGTTTGGCACGTTTCATTTATCCTATAGAAGGAGCGCTGACAACAGTATATTTGTCGCAAGCCTGCAGAATGCTACACTCGAGGCGACTCATCAGTTCCTGAACGCGATCGTCAAAAAATTGGTTAACAGTAAGAACCGCGTCGAACAGATCGTTACAGAAGGACGTGACATATAATTTAAAAAAAAATAGGCGATATAAGAGAAGAAAAGGCAAGAATTATGCACAGTTCATAGAGGAGTGTGACTCCGATTTGTTACACATTTTAACAATGTAATGCTATGCTTTGTTGAGTAGCTATGGTAAATATACCAGTGAAAGTGAGGCACTTTTCCGTGAATTATTCGGTATAGGCGAATGGACCACATGGCGCATGAACAATGACACAAATACGGATTCAAATCTCTGCGTTATAGGTAAGGGGTGGTTGGTTATGCGAAATGCGGGGGATTTGGACGAAACTGATTTCGCTTGAAACAGATTTCCTGTCTGAAGGGCGCACATTCTTTCGTCGGAATGGCTCCTAACCATATGCTCTCGTTGAACGTCACTACACTGTGCCCTGGTTACACCTTTGCACCTCTTCAGACATCAAAAACTCATAATGTAGTCAGGGAGAGAGTCAGAAAATTTTCAAATGTAACTGCTCGTCATACAAGCAAGGGCCTGTAATGGTACGATAAAAAAGGAAGCAAGGTGCTCGCGGCGACCAGTATGTTATCGCCTGGGTAACATAAGAAGATCAGTCGAGTGATTCGCTAGGAGAATTAGCCCGCCGGAAATCAGGATGATCCGAAGTGAAATAGGAACGAGTGGGACCTTTTTGAAGGTCCTCTTCCTTCACGATCACAGCGGCGGAAGCACTGAAAAGTCCCGCCAGACGAACGTGCCTTCATCTTCATAACCCTCATTGGCACATGTCGGTCAAATCGCAGCTATATGTTATCCTTGATCTTTCAAGGCCTTCTTTACTTGCCATCATATTTCTTCAGCAACCTGCTTGAGCGACACTCGCTTTATCTTTCTTCGTCTTTGTTTGTGCACCCCTAATTTAATTGCCTTGACCAATAGACCTTACATTTGCGACCGCACGTGGACGAATTTGCCCCTTAGAGACCTTGCTCACATGCTTAGGTATTGTTTAAAACAGCATCAGTCCAGGGTGGATTACTGGTTACCAGAGGGTGGAAACCCAATTGCTGCGGGGAGAAACGGTAGAGAGCATAGGCAAGCGACGTTGCGTACCTAGCGGCGCGGAATGCAGGCAAGGCCGGGATAAGTCTTGAATTCACATATGCTTGGGCAGCACCGTGGTTAGACGCCACGAACTGTCATAGTCCCAAATCCGCATTCTCAAACACGTCCTCTTACACTTGGCTTATATCTCCTTGCTGGACGTCACTACACTTCTGTATCATCGCTGTCTCGTGCAATTCTTACCACAGTCCAAGGAGAGAGGGATTTTTGCGGAGTCTTTCTATTATCCCTTTTCACTATCGCCATTTTCACTCTGCTACCATTCTAAGCGGCTGAAAACATACCGAGCTTCACCTATAGCTTGGGGCTTTTATAGTAAAATTGCTAGTCACAACTGCGGTCTGTAATATTTTTCTGAAACAAAATAACTCTGAAGTCTGAACTAAGCATTGTCCTGGGTCTAACACTCAATATTAATGCTCGAGCATCTTGTCCATACAGAACTTCTAGACATTTTGTTCTCAGAAGGGCAGGAACTTGGAAACGGTGATGGAGACTAAAATACCCTAATTTCCGGTAGATAAGCCCGCGCCGATATCACGTAAAAACACCTCCGCTCGTGCAGTGTAATTTTGTACACCTTAGAAACTACCGTAAATTTGCCTATAGAGGTAATTCGATGCCCTGATTACGAAAATGACTTTCATTTTTAGCGGTGGCGCCAGTTGGCGTCACCTTGTCACGACACCTGTTTTCACCAAATTTGGTGTAAACTTCCGTATAGGGGTTATTTGGTGTCCTGATTACGAATGACATTCATTTCGGCGTGGCGCTATTTGCGCCTATTTCTGCTCGTCCACGCTTTCCAACCAAGAAATATGCGTTCAACAACGTTCGACACAGAAGTTTGCATCGATTTTGGTGAAAACAAGGGTCGTGACAAGGTGACGCCAACTGGCGCCAGATGGCGCCACCGCTAAAAATGAATGTCGTTTTCGTAATCAGCATATCGAATTACCCCTATGGGCAAGTTACGGTTGTCTCTAGATGTACGCAAGTGCACTGCACCAGCGGAGGTGTTTTTACGTGATATCGGGCTTATCTTCCGAAAATTAGGGTGATTTGAAAGTTCGACAGGAAGCCAGGATCTCATCCAGTAAGGCCGCCTACAGAAATCACAATTTTTTCACAGGGAGGAAAAGCGCCTACCATTTCGCTCCTACATTTATACCCATCCTGGAGCTTCCTTCCTTTGGAAATTAGATTACTCCAGACAAAATTTACTGTCGCAGCGCATGCCTCCTTACTGGATGAGACCTGCCAAATTGCAAGCCGAATTTGAGAGCAGCCAAATAGTGCAGCAGTCAAAAATCAACCTGAATAAACAGACCCTCACTTAGTATTGGCTTTGGACGAGTTTCCGACTGAGACGGTGGTGTTTTGGCTGGATGGGCCTGACAGAATATAGGAGGAAATAAGGTTAGAAGAAACGGTTGTTCGATACGGAATTCTTTTTTGCTTTCAAAATGAAAACCGAACACTAGCGATAGCGACATCGCAAACTTCAATATCTACGCCTGGGGACGGGCGCTGTCGGAAAAGACAAGCTCGTTTTGAGTTTTGAAGCAGACTGTGACTACCCATCTTTCGTCTCAAAAACGTCGAAACCTCACTTCTTTGCCTCCTAATCACTGCTGCATACAGGGGGGGGGGCAATAAAAAAGACGGTCTCCGCAACCCGCCCGGTGCAGACCACCCACCACAAGTGACGAAACCGTCGTCACTTGTGGTGTGTGGTCTGCACGCGACGCTCTTCCCATTTTTTTAAAATAGGAGGATATCTTCCATCGTATCCCTGCTTCGTAATCCACCTTGCATGCTAGGGGGTGCGAGGTATCGCGTCCGTAAATTCGCATTAGCTGCCATCAGAAACTTTGTAGCGCCCTAGCGCCATTGTAGCGCACTTTCGAGCTGCAGCAACGGTATATCTGTGATACTCGTGAGCTACTTGGACCCATTGAACTGAACGACCACTACCGCATCTAGGATCGCTTGCTGAAATTCTTCTCAACAAAAACTAGATTTTTTACTTTTTCATCATAGTTCCTACATCATTCTTATTCTTAAGAAAAGTTGATGATGCCATGGGAAGCGCCCCTGAGTTCTAACTTCAACGTACCTTGGCTGTTTTCATTCACACACAAATTTTTACAGCGAGCTATCATATCAGTGAATAGGGATTTTTGCGTTTGTTCTGATCGAGTTTGGATGGGATTCTGGGAGGGTTAAAGAGGGAGACCTTTGAAATAACATTATACTGAGCACTGAACTGGAGAATCGGAAAGCCCGCGAAAAAGACCACACGCACATTGACCATTTGTCTTTTCTTCATCTTATCAAGCGCTTTAAACGAAATGCCAACACTGCTGCCGTAACCCACCCGTTCGCAGGAATCTCCATATGGCGATCCCACTGGTATGAGACCTCACAATCAAAGCCCACAAATTCACGGCGCGAAGCTTATTCTGTTTGTGATATCTGATCCTGTATCGTCTCCGACTGTTCCTGGATTCTCAGGGTCGCGAAGATATTCCACACAATTGTCCAGTACCAAATTTAACAACGCATCATATCCCTTGAGAATGCCAGCAGCTATAACAGGTTAACCACTTATCACCTGGAAATCAGAGCGAGAAAGACTGATGAAGAATCACTGAGTTGCTTCACCTTCTCGCCCTCCTTGGAACTTAACTCGTATTTTCTTGTCAATAAAACGAGATAAGTCGACAATGGATTCTTTCTTTTTCCGTGTGCCTTCGTCCTTATTCTGAAGACCATATGAAAAATAAACAAGATAACGGAGGTAATTTAGCAAAGAACTTGCCTGATGGTTGCTTGACATAACTACTAAATCCGATGTAAAGCGCAGCAGATAAAAATACCGACAGGTTTCCGAGTTCTCTGCAATGGAAAATTCGCGTCTATCAACTATTATAAAACGCAAAATTTTATTTTCGTGCGCAATACTTAGCACATTAGGGTATCCCGGGGGGGGGGGGGCAGGGGCTAAGCTTTTTGAAAAAGGAGACTCGAGATGAGTGAGGCTGGCGTCATTCGCGCGAATTGCGCGACGGATTAAGAAATCGCAGGTGTCCCGACCAATACTGTGAGATGCTTTCCAATCCCGCCATCATTTTTTGCTTGAGGGTCAGACTCGGCGATTGCATCGCGATGGACCAGTGCTGGAGCGACGCGATCGCTCCATCGCTTGTCCAGCGCGATGCCAGCTCGCGCTTGCAGTCACAGCGACGGGAGATTGCATCCTCAAAGAGCGAGCGATGGGAGATTTACCCGAGCAGCGCCGTGTGTATCGGTCGTCGGCGGGGTAAATCTCCCGTCGCTCGCACTTTGGAGCGATGCCAATCGCTCTAGGCAGAGCGACTGCATCGCGCGATGCAATCGCAGAGTCTGACCGAACTCGACGGGGATGGGTGAATGAATGGGATGTTCATGAGTGGTGTTACAGATTTTCACATTCGGGTTCCAAAATGCTCAATGGGCACCTGCGATTGTTTCAATTCGCGCCGACAGATTCCATCACGCGGACTTTGACACAAGCAAGTCACTTCCCCTGTGATTTCACGCCCATCGCTCATCGTTATTGCCCACACTATCTTGGAGTGCTAACGTATAGAGGGGGCCACGCGCGTACAGCGTTCCGTTTGTCTGTCGCGCTTATCAATCCGATGCCATAGTGTGCGAACCGAAGCATATCGCTAGCTGAACTATGACAGTCCGGCATTAGGTTTCATGAGCGGCCGTATACATCCGCCAAGCGTCACGCGTGCCCCCTCCCCCCTCAACTAAGTTAGCACCGCGTATTTTTCTCTTCAAAAAGTCCCCCACCCCTCTCAGCTGAGTGGTGGACATTTATATAAGGGATTTCAAAACGAAAACATACATTAAACAGCGCTAACAAGGGAGGTCGTTCAGGGTGTGCCAAGCTTTTTCAAAATGGTTTCTTGCATGACATTGGGGCACATATGGGGACCACAGAAGCATGGTTCATTTTTCCTGAACGGCCCTCTGAATACCAGAAAAGGGGTCCCTAGTTCGATTCCTCGTGGTGACAATTTTTGCATTTCGAGTTGACGTTTCAAAATTCGCGCAAAATGGAGTTAGCATGAATAATTAGTACCAAATTCATGATTAGGACCGTCAGTAACCCTTACAAATAGACTTTGATTGAAAAACTGGTGAAAAAGGTGTGACTAGGGACCCCCTTTTCTGGTATTCAGAGGGCCGTTCAGGAAAAATTAACCATGGTTCTGTGGTTCCCGCATGTGCCCTATATCATGCAAAAGACCGTTTTGAAAAGCTTGGCACACCCTTTGTAAGCTGACAAAGAACGTTGCATTTGTAATAGAACATCAAAAACCCCTCCACAGAATTTAACGCTGTTTGGTGAAAACAAGCGTCGTGACAAAGTAACGCGAACTGGCGCCATCGCCAGAAATAAAGGTCATTTTAGTAATCGAGGCATGGAATTACCCCTATGAACAGTCTCGGCAGAAATAGAAATTTTCGTGGTATAACAGTTGTTAGCGTCAAAAATTTTTGAGCCCTTCTATGATATTTCCTTTACAATTAAACGGAGAAATGAAAAACCCATTCCTCGTGAAGCAAATTCAAAATGGAAGCAAGAGCCGACTACTCTAAAACACCATTGGTAACCAGTGCAATTGCGTACTCTGACAAACTACCGTACCCAACACTACATTTATGTATGTATCTGGGCGGAATCTTTCGTCAATCGTCACCAAGGTTTATAGTGACGATGAGTGGCCATAAATATCATAGTGCATGGTAAAGAAGCAGGAAGAGCTGATTATAAGCTGCCCTCTATAACAAAATTGCACAACAAATTGAGAATATGAAGTGCAGTGCAACCGTTTTGCTGTCGCAGATAAAAGCCTCAGCAAAAACTGCAAACTGCATTGCAAAAACTGGGTTGATGTTTTTGGACAAGCATACAACAACAACATGATCTTCATGTATACTAGGTAAGCACAAATGGTTGCACATTTCCGCGATTCCGAGCTTATACAGGGTGTTCCGAAACTATCAAGGATCCTACTATATATAAGCGGCTAGTGTGTGTCTGTTGGTG